TAAAACTAAGAATATTATCCACTTTGAAGCCAGAGTCTTCAATCTACTTTCGGTGCCAACTTGGTCCAGGTGATCGTTAGAAAGAGTTGATGTTCATTAATATAGAATTCATGCATTAACCAAATTAATAATATAATTATTTGAGTTTTCTTTGTTAGTTTTAAAGTATAAAAATTTGACCTATCAGCACCTTATATGGTGCAATTTTCTAAGCAATATTTTAAATTATAACTAGGTATGACCCATCACTTCACTAACAGTTTATAAATTTTTTTTTTAAAATAAGTTTAATTTGTTAAATAGTATAGTTTGAATGCTATTCAATATGCTATTATTGATATTTATATCATCTTCTTCAGTGTTACTATTAAAAAAAGCATGAACATGTGATAATGATAAAAATTTCTAATTCATTAAGATTAGAATTAGTGTATATTATGATTAGATAATAGTAGAAGTATATTAATAAAATTGCTCAAGAAAAGTTTTTGTTAATGCACAGAATATAAATAATCATTTGATCTATTTTATAGAACTAAGTGAAAGATATCATAGCTGGGCATTGTTGTATAAGTATATTACTGTAGAAAATAATAAAAAAAGGTCTTTGCAAATGTGAAAGTATTAATATCGAATGTGTTTTGCTATTACATCTGACCTGTCAATCTGATTGGTGATTAGTAGATTATTTACATTTATTTATATTGAGTAGTCTAAACATAACAATGCATAAATTATATAATCATTAATGATTTTAAATATATAGATTAAGCATTTTCAAGAGAAATACATTTTGGCTTTTAAGTTTATAAATTATTAAATCAAAATTCTTTAGAAAATGTTTTATTAAGTTATAAATTTTGAAAGCCTAAATCTGATTTTTCTTGAATGCATGCCAACCAAACTTCACTTTTGAATATATATAAAAAAATATATATAAAATATATATGTTTCTCTTTTTTCACTCTTTTGTTACATTAAAATTAATATTTGTAATTTATAGTATCTATTTTTGAAAAAACAAAAATAGAGACTATTGATATTATAACTTCTAAGATAACTGAACAAGACACTGCTAGCAATATATTCTTTGAGATAATTAAAACAGAAGAAGCTAACTCTGCTTCACAAGTTTCTGAAACAGCAATAGAATGTTGCAACCACTTGGCTAGAGAGTATTATGCAAGAAAAATAGCATATCTAGCAACTGAAACTACTGAAAGTGCATGTGTATACAAAAATCAGCTTAAAAGAAAAGCATATATGTATTGCAGATCTAATTATATACAACAAAAAATAGCTGAAGCCCTAAAGCAAGCCAAAGAATGAAGAGCAAAGCATAAAAAACCAAACCAATATGCTTCTAATAGAGCTCACATGAAACAATACAATAGTAGTTCTGTAACATTGCATAATTTAGGCATTATGAATATTGAATACTTACAATATAATGCTTTTGCTTTGTATTAAAAAGATGAATGAGTTTAGGATCAATAAAAAAACCTGTCTTTAGTACATATTATACGAAGGGTAAAGTATTTTTGCTACAATTTGCTTTAATGCCTCTAAGTTTACTTGCTCTTTTAGTTGAAGATAATGCACATAAATGTGATTTTTGAAAAAAAATTCATATATATAATTTAGTTCTCATATTTATTTCAATGTATGTAAAAATTGATAAATGAGTAACTGGAATCAGCAGTATATATTCTTTTAGAATTCATGAAGAAGTTTATTACCAAATAGGCACACTTATACCAGAAGAACATAGTGATCCTGCATTTTGTTAAATTTATTTGTATAATACAAATAAACAACAGTTATATAGACAATGCATAGTGCCAGATTTAGATCCTTCTATGCTTACTGAATTACAATTAATGCTATATAACATAAATCTATACATATATGTCTTTTAACAAGCTGCATAGCAGCTGCATGAAAATCTATCTTAAGACTTAAAATTAGTAATTATTAAAGCACATAATGAATAAAAATATAATATACCTACTTTATCAGAAGTTGCAGTACTAATAATTAGAAATGAACAAGAACCTGAACCTTCAAATTATGATATTATTTTGCACAAATGAGAAGAAGGTTTATAATAAATCTCTCAAATCCATCCTTCTTATATCCCTTTAAATTATATATAGCTCTTTCTATATAATGAGCCTGGATAGCATCTTAATATCCCAATATGCAATATATTACATGAACAAATAAATGATAATATAGATAATTTAAATACCTCTGAAAAACATTATAAAAAAGAAAATTCTTAGCATGTAACTATGTTGTAATATTATGCTTATTATTTACAAGTATGCAGATATAAGCTTCTAGAATTATTTTCTTTACATAGGTTTAGTTGTTTATATTAGCAATTTATTGTAGACTGCTATGTATGTATTAAACAAAACTGACTAAATTATATCAAGTTAAATTAAAAACAAATTTAGGCTGAATTATATAGTAGATTACAAGATGCACTTACAACTAATAATGAACTTTTACTAAACAGAATTTGCATTGGACAACATATTGTACTTCTATTAAGTTTTGTTGATAGACCATATTATATGTACCAGCTTTATCAGGATGCTATGTCTATTGTTGGCCAAGCTAGAAAACCAAACTTATTTATAACAATGATATGTAATCCAAACTGAAATGAAATTCAAACAACTTTATTATTTGAACAAAGTGCACATGACTATTCTGACCTTTGCATACATGTTTTTCATATGAAATTGAAAGCTTTACTTGATGATATTTTAAAAAAAGGAATCTTTGGTAAAGTAATAGCATATATTTATATTATTGAGACTCAAATGCATAGTCTTTTGCATGTGTATTTGTTGATAATATTAGCAGATGAAGACAAGCTGTGTACTACTGATAATTACAATCTTATTGTATTTGCAGAAATACTGTATTCAAATATATATCTAAATAAATATATTACTATTATTAAATATATAATGCATAGGTCTTGTAAAGAATTTAATATAAATGCTTCATGTATGCAAAATGAAAAATGCTCAAAAGGTTATCCTAAACTATTTCAGCCTGAGTTCTATAAGAATTTAAATGGATATTCTTTCTATCATTAACATAATAATAGTTACATTGTAATAGTTAAAGGTAATAGGCTTAATAATCATTGGGTTGTACTTCATAACCTTTATCTTTGTAAAAAATATAATTGCCACATAAATGTTAAGATTTGTTCTTCTATTCAAGCAGTAAAATATTTATTCAAATTTGTATATAAAAGTCATAATCAGATAACAGTAATGATTAGTAATAGTTGTAATCTAGATACTAATTCAAATTTATCAGAAATAGATAAAATTCGACAATATCTTGATGCATAATATGTATTAGTATCAAAAGCTTTTTGGCATATTATGCATTGTAAAATGCATAATGAAGCATCAGATATTATTCAACTATATGTACACTTACCTAAACAACATCTGGTAATATTTTTTAATAATGATTTATTAAATATTATCATGCAGAAAGCAAATAATCAAGAAACAACATTAATAGCATAGTTTTAAGCAAATAGTGATCCTTTTCTGTCATTCTATGCAAAGAAATATACATATGCATAATTTTCACAAAGATTTGTTTTTGATAAATGTTCAAAAAAATAGAAATTGATTAAGCATGAAAATGCTATTGGATGCATAAATTTTGTACATTTAAGTGAAGAAGAATGCTATTATTTACATATGCTTTAAATATAGTTTATGCAGTACAATCTTTTATGCATTTATGTACTGTAAATAAAGTTGAATACACAACATTTAAAGATACATGTTAAGTATTAAACCTATTTTAAAATGACTTGGAATAGGATTAATGTCTTAAAAAAGCATTAAATATAAAAACTAAACAGCAATTATAGCTTTTGTTTGCCACCATATTAATTAATTGTTATCCAACAGAATCTAAACATCTCTGAACAAAATATAAAAATGCACTTAGTAATAACATACTTTACTAAGTAAGGCAACAAATGCAGAATTCTTATTTTTAGCTAATAGAAGATAATATTAAAAATCGATTATTATATTTATTAGAAGATATTTTAATACAATACTAAAAATCTTTAAAAAATTTTCTAATATGCCAACTGCTACTATAGTCTATAATATAGGCAATTTTTTAATAGCTGAAAAGTTAAATTATAATCAAACAAAACTTACAAAATATGTTAATTAGAATGAAAAACTTCTAAATAATAATTAGCAAAACATATATAGAGATATATTACAAGCTATTGAACAAAATAGCTCAGCATGCTTTTTTATAAATAGACCAGCTGGCACTAAAAAAACGTTCCTCTATTCAGTTTTGTTAGCAAAAATACATTTGCAAGAAAATATTGCTCTTGCAGTTGCTTCTTCTGGAATTGCAGCATTATTACTTGATGATGGCTGAACAGCACATTCACACTTCAATATTCTCATTATACTTAATGAGAATTCTACATGCAACATATCAACACAGACAGATCTTGTTGAACTTATTAGACAAACTGCACTAATTATCTAGAATGAAGCTCCTATAATGAACTATTATGCATTTAAAGCTGTAGATCATACTTTATAGAACATCATGAGTGCTTTTAATCCATATCTTAATAATGAACTATTTGGCAGTAAAGTTGTTATATTTGGTAATGACTTTAGACAAATTCTTCTAGTAATTCCAAAAGGTGGACATAAAGATGTTGTTAGTGCATGTCTGTGTCATTTCTGGCTATAAAAATATATTAAACTTAGAAAATTAACTATAAATATGCACTTACTAAGAATAACTAATTGTTTAGTTACAAACTTCTAAAAAGAATTCACTAACTGGCTATTAGAACTTAGAAAGGATCAAATTTGTAAAATTATACAAGATAGCAGTTACATTCATTTATCACCTGAAATTGTACTCAAAAGTGATAATTTTTAAAGTCTAATAGAATTTGTTTACTCAGAACTACAGTTATAATTTTATGATATTGCATATTTGACTGAGAGAATAATTTTTATTTTCCAAAATGATGAGTTGATACATTAAATGCAAAAATAATTGCACAATTTCCTGAAGAAAAGGCAACATATTATAGTGCATATGCTGTGAACCAAAACTCTAAGTTGTATAATTCAACATAAGAGAGACTTTATTCAACTAATTTTCTCAATTTATTAAAATATAGTGGCTTATCACCTCATGTATTGATACTTAAAATTGGTACATCTATTATTTTACTATGAAATATGAATATAGCTAAAGGTTTATGCAATAAAACTTGATTAATAATCAAAGCATTTCAGTGGCATGTTATTAAAGCAGTATCTATAAGTAGACCTTTAGCTAGAAAAAGTGTATTTTTGCCTTATATTACACTTTTTTCTACAAATGCTGCATTATCTTTTGTTCTGAAACACTGTTAATTTCTATGTCAGCTTGCTTTTGCAATATTTATATATAAATTCTAGAGACAGGTTATAAATTAGATTGGTTTTTACATTTTTATACTTGTCTTTACACATGAACAACTATATGTTGCATGCTTTAGAGTCATATCATATCAAAGATTATATAGTTTTTTTGAACAATCAGAATTTTTAGAATGTACTAAAAATATCATATATTACAAAATATTTCTAAAAGCTCCTACTAATATAGAGCCACATACTATAATATAAGATTTGGTTATGTAATATGTAACTTCTTAGATAGGTATAGAAATTTAATTTAATATATTCAAAAATCAAGTATTTTTTTCTTTTAAGATGTCAAATTATAGCCTTAAATTTAAACAAAAGTTCTGCATTTCTATATAGTTCTAACTATACAAGTATTAAGATAATATATACTATTTCTGTTTATTGATACTAACTTTTGTTCTTAAAATTTAAGTAAATCTAGCATCGACTATAGGCAAGAAAAAATAAATAAGAAAAAAAAATGCTTATTATACTATTTCTGTTTATTAATACTAACTTTTGTTTCCAAAATTTAAGTAAATCTAGAATTAACTATAAGCAAGAAAAAATAGATAAGAAAAAAAAAGTTTATTTATTATTAAATTTAATGTTTAATAAGCTTTGAAATTACATTATTATAAAGTAATATTAAATATAAGATATTTTGGCTTAAATCACATTAATAAATAAATTAGAATAACTAATAATTTTAAATAATACACTTTATATTAATTAATTTTAAATAATACACTTTACTATTAGCTAAATTTTTTTAATTCGCAACTTTGTATTAACTATTATTTCTTATATATAGATTTTGCATGTTTTAAAAGTCAGACACTTTTTTTAAATAGCTTATAGTAAGATTATATTTATTATTATTTATGTAAAATATTTACATTTTGCATTTGTTAGTTCTATATAAAATTACAAAAAAAAAACAAACTTCTAAATGCTCTTTTATGAAAACTTTTGTATAATTAGCTGTTTAGCTCTACATTATTTATACAGTTTAAAGAACTTTGGTAAAAAAATAAAACTATTGCTAATAAATAAAAAAGAAGTATATAGAAAATTTTATTAGAGTTTTAAAACTTTAATATTAAAAATAATCAAAATCT